TTCGGACTGATCCATTTGGTATTGAGGCTCCCTAGGCTCTCCCTGGCTGTCGTATGCTTTAAGCAAGTGTCTTTAAGTGGAGTCTAATCCCTGAAGGCTGACTAAAAAGTTCATTTCTGCATTGGCACTGGCTTTCCAAGATGGAGATTTGATGTAAACTTTTAAGCTTTATCACATTTGGGTGGGTTTGCTTAAAATGCTTCAGACTCGAGACTTCGACTTGTTGTGCAGATGAGTTTAATCACATCTGCTGAGCTTGGAGCACATGAAGTGCAGCGCATAACAGTAAATTGGAACGTGCGTTTTTGTAAGGAGAGATGAAAATTCTGCCCTTTTTGCTAACCAGAAAATCCCTCCCAGAAACAGGGAAGCCTGTGTCCACGTAGCTGTGTGCCTTGGCACTCCGTGCAGGGATGAACAGCTGTCCCTTTGGGAGCTGGTTGGGTTTTTAAAGCGCTGAATGGGAATGCAGGCAAATTGCCACCTGGCTTATTTATTTACTGCTAACAGGTACCATGTGTGAGTTATTTTTTTTCATTTTTAAGGAGGGGCGGTCTTAGAGGAATGAGGATTAGAAATACATAATTTAGCAGTTTGAAATGTTAAGTTTATTTTTTCCAGAGGAGTCTCATTGGTACGGTATGGAGATGTAATTTCTCTTGGCTTGTATGTGTATCTGGCTAACGTGTTGTAAATCTTCTTTACTTGGAAGGGACCTAAAGGTTTTGTTGAAACTCTTAAAGTTTTTTGTTTATATTCCATAACCATAACACTTTATGTTTTTAAGATACTGTGTGACAAAGTAAATGATTTTAAAAACAATTAGGGTATGCTCATAGCCATGCTGCTTATCTCATGACTGTGCAGCTTCAAGATTTCAGTTCTGGCCACGCTCTATTTTGCGATGCTTTTGTGAAACCCCATTACAATATTAAACAAAATAAATTAAACCCTGTAAGATACTAAATCAGAGCATTTCGCTGCTAGTTTGACCTAGTCATTTGATTTTTCAAGACCTTGTAACCTGTTAAATTACCATGACATCTTTCCTGGCGCATGGAACACTCGGCAGAGCTCAGAGCTGTCTGTTCTGCAGGGTCTGCTGTCATAGAATCACAGAATCATGGAATGGTTTGGGTTGGAAGGGACCTCAAAGATCATCCAGTTCCAAACCCCTGCCATGGGCAGGGATGCCTTCCACTAGACCAGGTTGCTCAAAGCCTCATCCAACCTGGCCTAGAACACTTCCAGGGATGGAGCATCCACAGCTTCCCTAGGCAACCTGTTCCAGTGCCTCACCACTCTGAGTGAAGAATTTCTTCCTTAGATCTAATCTAAATCTCCCCTCTTTCAGTTTAAAGCCATTGCCCCTTGTCCTCTCACTACATGCCCTTGTAAAAAGTCCCTCTCCAGCCTTCCTGTATCCCCTTTAGGGACTGGAAGGTGCTGGAAGGTCTCCCTGGAGCCTTCTCTTCTCCAGGCTGAACAGCCCCCTCTCTCAGCCTGTCTCCATAGCAGAGGTGCTCCAGCCCTCGCATCATCTTTGTGGCCTCCTCTGGACCCATTCCAGTAGCTCCTTGTCCTTCTTGTGCTGGGGACCCCAGAGCTGAACGCAGCACTGCAGAGGGGTCTCAGGAGGGCAGAGCAGAGGGGCAGCCCGGAGGTGGCACGGCTGTGCCACGCACGCGGAATTGGCTGCTGACGGGTTTCTCCATGTCGAACACGACTTGCTTCGTGTGGGCCAGGCTGTGGATTGAGGAGACAATGGAATTACAAGCTGAGAGAGCTGCCGTTTCGTAGTGCGAGAGTTTTTGTGGAGTTCCCGCTTTCAGAATCTGTCGTTACAGTGAGCTGTAGTGTGCTTCACTTCAGTGAAACCAAAAAGTAATGTTTTTATAAGTAAATGTACCTTGTGTGTGTTAGACTACAAATTCTCTGTTCACACAATCAGTATATTGAGTAAAGGAGGTTTTTAGGTTTAATGCGATGCTGTTCTTTCCAATGCTGAATAAATATTTCCAGTTCTGTTCAGACTTCTGTTCTGACCTCTGTGTGGAGCCTTGTCTATGAAAGGGGAGAAGAGAGTTAGTGTAGCCTGGAAATAACTTAAATTACTGATTTTACTAATGAAATCAGAAAGCAAGAAACCTTTATTTAAAGTGTGATCTTTTATTTGCTAAGTATATTATTCAGATTTTTCCTTTAACTGCAGCTGGTTCTCGTTACAAGGTGCTGCTATTACCAGCTTTTAGTCTTGATCTGGAACGTGGATTTTTCACACCTGAAGGAGCTGCTGTCTGTTTAAATAAACACTTCCATAGCTTAATGTACATAATGCAAAATGTTCATGTTTCATTTTTAAAATTGATGACTGCTGCAGTTCTCTACCAGTTTGTTTTGGTGTTTTTTTTTCCCCCTTGATGTGAACAGCTTTATTGTGAAGAGACAGGTCTGGGCAGTGGTGGGGTCTGGATGACAAAGTTATGTGGGTAATTCTGTTTGTGCAGAAAAGGGTTGTTAATTCATTTCACGCACATGAATGTTTCTTTATTTTCCTTTTTCCTGCAGTTCTCTACATCCAGTGATTTTCTTCATTCTCCAAAGTTAAGGCCTTCTCAAGGAGTACCAGTCAGTGACGAGTTATTTTTTAGTAGAAAAAGAGCTTCAAGGAATTTATTTCAGAATAGCGTAGATTTTAACTCCAACCGTTCTTCTGTTTGTGCCGGTAAGTATTAACACAGAAAAGTGTTCGGTCTGCTGTTTACCAAACAGATTTAGAAGAGCCTGAGCATAAATCTGTAGCTTCATGAGCGTGATTTACCATTTGTCAATTCTTTGTTTTGTTATTTATTTTCATTTACTATGAAGAACTGAGTAGTGGGCACAGGGC